AAAACAAACGAACACAAACATACGGAGCCAAGCGATCGATAACAGGTCGAAGCCAAAACCGATATAAATGAAAAAGCTTACAGGGATCACTAAGTCGAGGGATACTCTTGTCGACATAAATACCAACATGATTGAGAAGGGAGCTATCCTTGGTCAATCGACGGGCACTCCATGTGTGCTTATTCAGCTCCTCCAGCATGCTCGCAAATTGTAAAGAGCTGGGACGCTTATGCTGCTCTGGCTTGCTGGTAATCCACTCATTTGAAAAAGGATATTGGCCGGGAGCGGGTCGAATGAATAAATACTTTTTTTTCCATTCGGTAATATTAGAAGATAGGTCGTTGAGAAAGGTAACGTCCACACGACTACCCAAACAATGGGCATCCTTGCTAAATCCATATCCGTAACAGTAAAGAAAAAAATCGGGTACAAAACTACCTAGCACTATACGGGTGACGACTATAAAGGCCACTATTATTCGAATAAGGTTGGGGGTGAATTGATTTATTGGTATATCATAAAGGTTACTCAACGACAAAAGCTCGGGTTGAATCGGAAAGCGCAATCCCTACATTATCTGATCCACGAAAAAGGTAAAACAGCCACGGGGAGGATGCCTGAAGTCATCGTTTATGGTAGGAGCGACCAATCCCCAATCAGTGGGAAGACCACTGAACTCTCTGAAGCCATCGATTTCGGCTGCAGGAGCATAAGAAAATGAAGGTTAAGAACACGCTACAGTTACAGGCTCAGCTGGAGAAGCTATTGTTAGCGAATAAATAAGGCTTGCTTTTTTGCATAAGGATGTCTAAAAGCCTAATGAGAATACCTCGAGGGATTAAGCTAAGTCAAGGAGATCCCAGAGTACGAGAGATCTCAGGATCCTCGAACAAGGTGCCGGACAGCAGTGCCTGATTGTACACATCCCTGTCGATTCCAAAAGGCGAGGCTATGAAATGAACAGAGTCCACGGGCTCGACATTTAGGACGACACGCGGTCCGACAGAGATTTTTTGTACAGAATCAAAACTCGAGTAGTTGTCAATTACGCGGGCACGGGATCCAGAAACAGGGTCGGAGTTGGAATCTAAAAAAAAAAAGGAAAGAAAAAAGAGCGGCAATCAATAGATATGGAAAAATACGACCGCGATTCGACTCCAAAGGATAAGGTTCAATGAAAGAACCAGGAAAACGCGTGAGGCGACTCGACAATGAAAAAAGAGGAGAAGAAACGAGGGAAATATTCCCTGTTTCGATTCGACTTGACATATGAATGTCAAGTCGGCGACTATTTAATACTTGGGAGCGGAAGAGTCGATCCTTCGCAACAAAACGACTGACGAATGAGAACACTTGGGGAGATGAAAAACCCACAATTAAAGATCTAGCAAAAAATCGCCAGAAACTCATCTAAAAAATCCCCAGAAAGTCCGACGAACATGCAAAATCCCAGCATATCACCCAGAAAAACCAAAACAAAAAGAGAGAAGGAAAAATCGTACACAAGCAATAAATCGAAAAGCAAGGAAAACTTACACATGATGAATGACAAAGGAGTCCTGATAAATCTGAGAAGAACGTCGGAGAATGCGGTGAGCGTCGGAGAGCTGGAGATGCTGTGTTTGCTGGAAAAGCAGAGAGTTCAGAAAGTTTTAAGAGCTAAAAGTGAAGACAAGAAAAGGGGAGGAATATTTATAGGGAGAACAGAGAAGCCCTAGCCCTCAGATTAAAGTCAGATCCAACGGTTGAGATGATGCACGAAATACGAAGCGGTGGAGAGAGAAAGCGTCTTATCTGTGTTCAAGACCTTTTTCGAAATTTGAAATTTGAAAAGAAGATTTTGACTTATCCAATCAATTCAGAATTTGTGAGGAAGGCAAGTCGTTTCACGAGTCGACATAGATAAGCGAGACACCCAGTCGTCAGAATTTAATCTTAAGCTCAGAATCGCTTCGAATAATTTTTGGGGGGGACTAGATGATATAGTCATACTATCGTATAACAGTTCATACTATCACGGCTCAGAAATTACTGAGTCGACTTATCCAAAGTCGACTCTTTCGCGGACTACTTATAATGTCTCAAGTAAAAGACCCAGACGTCTCTCCCTGTCGACTTCCACACGTCGACTGGTATAAGTCGACTCCCTTTGGAAGGATGGATAAGCGTGTCAAGGTCTATTGACGATTGAAGATGACCCAGTCGACTCGAGTCGATGTCCCGAGTCGACTGAGAAAGTCTCGAGTCTCTTAGATCCCCGACGATTTCGGTATACTTCAACATATCATAAGGAAGCTGTCAAGGATAAGAAGGAAGCTATTAGGGATAAGAAGGAATCTAGATGTTGACTAGGAGATGGACGGAATGCGAACCAACCAGGGTATTTTGGACATTTCCAGTAAGTCGGCTGGGGCATTTTAGGGACTTCAGGTAACTGTTTTGCTCCTATATAAAGGAGCTGAGGTAACCCCAAACCCCTAACTCCCATTCATTCTATACTCTCCTCCATTATTGTTGCTGCTCTCTCAGAGCAGCTCTTTTCATCTCTCTCACATACTGACTTGAGCGTCGGATGCTCTACGCCGGAAACCCCTCCGGCGTTGAGTTCTTGCAGGTTTTCTTGCGGTCCAGTGGCGGTTTGAGGGCGACTACGACAGATCTGAGCCTATTCTTATCGGTTCATTCTAGATTTGGGCCCGTTTATTCCATCGGTTCGCTCCAGATCTGAGAAGAGACCCATCAATGGATATCAATGAAATTATTACAGATATTAATAAATTATTGAAGGAAACAATATTTTTGATCATATATGATTTGAACTTATTTGAAAACGTGTATATGGAAATAATTAATGCATATATTTAATAATTTTCTAAAAAAGGTATGCATTAAATTATTCCAAAAAATTTTACTACTATTTTTAATTAATGGTTATTTTATTATATATATATTATATTTAATTATGATATTATTTTATATAAACTATTTTAAATAACATAATAACATTCTTTTTTTTATAATCTATTTAAATTGAGAAACAATATTTCTTCAAATTTATTTTATATAATTTTTGTTTTTCAAATCTATATATATATACACACATATACATATATAAGGTCTGACATTTGCCTAATATAGTAACTGAATTTCTGCCTAAATAATTCATTTTTACCTTTTTAGTAATTTTTTGAAAAATTTTGGAAAGTGGCGGTCAGTTTTTTAAAATTCAAATTAAAAAGGTCAATTTAATACATGTACAGAATCAATTTGGTCAAATATTGCGGCTCTTACCTTTATTAATTGCATGATCTATAATTGGTATATATATATATATATATATATATATGTATATATTGAAAAAAAAAACAAAAGGATTTTTATCTAAAATAAAAAAAAAAATCAAATGGTAAGAACCACATTACCTCGTTTGGGGTCGTTCCACATCGCCTCGCTGAGGTTGTTTTTATTTTGTCAGTTTAGTTGGTTCTTGTGTTGGTGTTTGAGTCGTTTTCCTTCTAGCCTTGCTAGCGATTCTAGGCGGACCTTGGTCTAGCCTCCAAGTTTGTATTTTTGCACTTTTGTGCGCTTATCTATAGTACATCTATCGTTTCGGACAAAAAAAGAAAAAGAAAATCAATCAAATGGTAAGAATAACTCCTCTCACTCACTATCCAAAATACACGTATCAATTTTGCCACTTTATTGTCCATTCAAATCGCCTTATGTGCGGGCCGAAATTAATAGCTGCGCAATCTTGAAATTTGAAATTACATCTTATGATTTTTGGTTACTAAATATTTATTTTTTTATTTTCTTTTTGTAGATTGTCATGTTTATAGATTTTAGTAGGTCAATTTAGTGATCATTAATCTCTAAGAGTGTATGATTGAATGAAGAGGTGTTTAATCAATGAATCATATATATATGGATGACCTTATGTATAATTTGTCTCCTTTATCTATTTTTATTGTATTTTGTTGTATTATCCAATGAAAAAAAAAAGAAGAAATAATTTTGAAAAATGGCGGCCAATCATTTGAAATTAAAATTAAGAAATCAATGCAATTAATGTACAAAATCACTTTGGTAAAACATTGCGGTTATTACCATTATTAGTTGCGTGGTTTAGGAAAAAATCGATTCAAATCTGAATTATTATAATTATTTTCCACAATGCTTTCAAATATTATAATTAGTTCTAATTTTATTTCCATAAAATATGTTAACAAATGTTAATTTTATGTTATTATTCTGTTTTAGTCCCAACAATCTCGCAAGATTAATTCTGTGAAAATTATTTAATTAAACTGTGATACACACTTATCTCCTCAAATACGCATCTTATTTATGTAAAGTTCTAATATGATATAAAATCAACTCCTCAAATACAAATTTACTTTAGAAAAGAGAAACCTTATCCTAGCCATGGACAAGGAGAGCTCAATCCATAAACGAATCCCAACTCACATCACAATGGAGAAATGACCACAGATCCGACGAACATCATCGTCGTCGTTGGCGCCGGAGGAGAAGTCATGTACAAGGCGCCAGGGGCGGAGGCTGCCGGTGGCGGGTGGCGGACGAGGCGACGGGCGAAGCCGGTGAAGAACCAGAGGATGACTCATATTGCCGTCAAGAGGAACCGCCAGAGGCAGATGAATGATTACCTGGCTGTGCTTCGGTCACTGATTTTTATATGTTGTAGTAAATGTATTGATATTAATAAAAAAATGTTCGATTTTATGGTATAAATTGGGCGATTTTACTTTAGTATGAAATGTCTGAATTTAAATTGTATGAATTTTATTTGGTATGGCCAGAAGTGTATTTGAAAATTTTGAAACAAAATAAGTTGTTTAAAATTTATTTGTTATGAATATTAAAGTCAGATTTTAGGTTTATTTGTTATAAAATCAATGTGATATGATCCTCAAATTTTGGCTTATACTCATAATAGCTTGCCATAAAATATTGATGATAATTTGAAAAATTTGTATGTATTTCTCTTGAAATCAGAAAGATCTATGAACAAATATTGGTTAATAAAAGTTTGAAATTTGTAATTTAATTTTAGAGAAATAGTAGAAAATTTTGGACGATAAGATAACTGACAACTATATATATATATTTATTTGTGTGTGTGTGTGTGTGAAATATATAAAAGAATTTACTGTGTAGTCCAAATTAGGGTTCCAAATTTAAAAGTCAAATAAGTAATTATTCGTAATTTACGTGTTTATATTAACTTGGACATAAATAGAATAACCAATTATATATAGTTTAATAAATTGCTTAACTACTTAATTATTTTGATTTGTACAGTTTATACAAAAATAAATTTATTTTAATTAATGAAACAATATGAGTTTTATAATTATCTTATTATTCACACAGATTTTTAAATATATTATAAAACTTGATCAAAATATTTATTTTATGGATTCACATTGTAGTTAAATCGAATTTCAGAATAAAAATTTTAAGTTGACACTTATTTTGCAATGAATATAATGTAATTTATTAACAAAACAAGCACCGTACGGGTTGTGTAATAATTTTAAATAGACATGTTTTATGTAATTTTGAACAATTTAAATTGCATATAACATTTTCAATTAATTAATATAGTTAAAATGTACTACACTATATTTTTAATTTATAAATATTATTTAATGAGCATTTTTAACTTATAAATATTAACAAATATCTCTTACCCATAGGTAAAATATTATTACATATTGATTCAGTATTTTTAATTTATAAATATTATTTAATAAGTATTTTTTATTTATAAATATTAGCGCGCACAATCTTTGAGGTTGACATTTTTTATTTATAAATATTAACGAATATTTAATGCACAATCTTCGAGGTTGACATTTTTTATTTATAAATATTAACGAATATTTAATTAGCATTTTTTACAATTATTGAGGGGTGGGTATTGATACTATGAAACCTGCGGTCACAATCTTCGAGGTTGGGATGTTACTAATATGATTACCATTTCATGAAGTTTAATCTCATACACATTATATTTAAAATTAGTAAATATTATAAAGTTGAAGTTATTTTAAGAACTATTACATGAGGGAAAAAACTGTATAAAATATAATTATAATATAATCAAAATTGAAAAAAATAAAATAATTCAAAATCAAATTATTGAGTTGTATATATATATTATATATATGTATGTGGTGGGGGTTAAAACGATTTATCATTTTGACAAATCGAACATAAAATATGATTATTATTTTAAATAATTAATGTTATTATTTTTTATTTATTAGTTGTATATTTAATTTTTTATCATTCTAAATATTAATTTCTTCACTTATTTATTTTGATAAAACACTTACTTTTCAAGAACTCGTGTTGTTAACGAGTGTTATATTAACTATTGAATAAATTAATTATTCTATTTATTTTGATAAAAAATAATATATGAAATAGAACAGATAATACTTCACAAAAATAAATTTTAAAATTCAAAATAATATTAAAAAAAGTTCTTTTATTAATAGTTTATAATTTTTTACTTCATAATAAGAATTTCAATTTTTGTTGGACAATTAATTTTTTTATAAAAATACTCGTGTAGTTCGAGGGGACGAGTGTTGTACTCAATGTTATCAAAACCAGACCGGACCGGCCAGTTCGACCAGTTAAACTGGGAACCGGACCTAGTACCGGTCCGGTTTGCATGTTTGGGGCGCTGGGAGCAAGAACTGGTATCGAACCGGTCGAACCGGTTCAAAACCGGTAAAACCGGTGAACCGTTACCGGTTCGACCGGTCGAACCGATTCTGAAATTTAAAAAAAAAAATCTTGATGGAATAAAAAAAAATAAAAAAAAAAGAAGAAGAGTGAGATAGTATTTTGTATTTTGATGAATTGTAATGTTGGATTGGATATATTTTGATGTTTGATGACTTTATAGTTTGTATTTGTAATTTAGATTGCCTTGCTTTAGATATTGAATTATTAATCTATTGTTTTAGTTAACTTTATTTAGTATTGTTTATGGTAAACTATACTTGAAATATTGATTTATCAACTCTTATTTAGAAAAATGTCATTATATGCTATAAAATTAATTATATGCTATAAAATTAATGATAAATATATATATATAATTATATATTATACATATAAAATAAATAAATAAATTATATATTAGTCAAACCGGTTCGACCGGTTCGACCACTAATCCGACTAGTGAACCATTGAACCAGTAGCTTTACCGATAACATTTTGAGAACATTGGTTGTACTATTCCAATGTAATAAAGAAATGGGGTAATTCTAATTAGTCATCGTTTTATGGTCTTCCACCTGAAAGTAATATCTCTTAATAAATCAAAGTTGAAATCAAAATCAATCTTCCCCGTCGTGACCCCCATTCACTGTTTCTTTTCCTTCTCCCCTCTAAAATTTTCTCTCTCGCTCCTTCATTTCGATCTTGCAGCTGATTTTCTATCTGGGCTTCAATCAAAATCTCATTTTGAAAAAAAAAGATCGCCGTGTTAATGGTAAAAAAAAATAAAAATTCTTCTTTGTATCTTCCTTTGACGCTTCTTGTTTTTTCTTGAATGTGTGTGTGTGTGTGTGTGTGTGTGTGTGTGATTCGTTTCGTCAATGTGGGTCTTGGTTTTTATGTGGTGAATTGAGTAGAGATTTGTAGCAATGCCCTTGTGTGAGCGCTTCAAATGTTGTCTGTTTTGAAGTTCTGGAGCTGCACTTGAGGAAAATCGAGCTGACATTTTTGCATGATGCGTATGTTGCACTTATATATATATCATTTGTGGCGATGATTTGATTTGCTCCTTTTAAGGATTTTGATGTGTTCTAGTGTCGGAATAGTGATGCTTGTTTTTTAAATGTTTTTTTTTTTTTCTTGATTATTGGGTGCCAATAATTATGTGTTTTTGTGCTAAATCATTTTCGTGGTCAGTTGAATTTCTGGAGATGATTCTTGTCCCTTTCTTTTAATTTCTTGTTTGTTTATGCTATGCACACTCGACTTGGGTAAAGATCTTGAAATCAGTATTTAGATGTCCACAAGGAAGAAGCTGGGATGCTCTTTTTATCACTAGAATGAGTTGGACTAAATTCGTAGATTCGACAAGCATATGAATGATGTGATTGAAATCTTTTTCTCTTATGATTTGTTCATAGGTGGTAGACTGCTGAATTAACTGCATCCAGAAATTACAGGGAGGATATTATGTGGGAAAGTAAATTTAGGCATAGTCAATAGTGGTTATGCGAGCAAAACCCTTTGCTTGCATGGTTGAGGCAAGGGTTGGAGCCTCGTAGGTTTATAGTCAAAACTCCAGGACATAGCACGGTTAATTTGGACTTTTAAACTGTGTAAAAAATGGCCCGAGGCAGAATAAGGGCGAGAATCAGGAGAAGCCATCTCTACACGTTTGCATGCTATCGCCCGTCTCCGACAGAAGAGGACAGGCCTCACGACTTTAATGGGCCCGGCTACTCACGAATGGTTTACTGTAACCAGCCTCACATGCATGTGCAAAAGCCGCTTAAATACTGCACGAACTACATTTCCACCACAAAGTACAACGTAGTTTCTTTTCTACCAAAAGCCATTTTCGAACAATTCAGACGTGTAGCCAACTTGTACTTTCTTCTGGCAGCTGTTTTATCTCTAACTCCTATATCGCCATTCTCTGCTGTAAGTATGATTGCTCCTTTGGCTTTCGTGGTCGGATTGAGTATGGCTAAAGAAGCTCTTGAAGACTGGCGTAGGTTTATACAGGACATGAAAGTCAATTTGCGAAAATGTAATGTACATAAAAGAGACGGTATTTTCGGCCTTAAACCCTGGATGAAGCTGAGGGTTGGGGATATAGTGAAAGTTGAGAAGGATAAGTTCTTCCCTGCCGATTTACTTCTTCTCTCCTCGAGTTACGAGGATGGTATTTGTTACGTCGAGACGATGAATTTGGATGGGGAGACTAATTTGAAGGTCAAACGATCTTTAGAGATAACTCTACCATTGGATGATGATCAAGCTTTCAAGGATTTTACAGCCTCCATCAGATGTGAAGATCCTAATCCCAACCTCTACACTTTTGTCGGCAATTTCGAATATGATCGACAGATTTATCCACTCGACCCGAGTCAAATCCTCCTCCGCGACTCGAAGCTTAGAAACACTGCCTATGTTTATGGGGTGGTGATATTCACAGGCCATGACAGCAAAGTCATGCAGAACTCCACAAAATCTCCTTCCAAAAGGAGCAGGATCGAAAAACAAATGGACAAGATAATATACATCCTTTTCAGTCTATTGGTGTTCATCTCATTCATAAGCTCGGTGGGTTTTATTGCCAAGACAAAAATCGATTTGCCGAATTGGTGGTATTTACAGGTTCCAGATGAAGAGAGTTTGTATGATCCGAGTAAACCCCTCACATCCGGATTTTATCACTTAATTACAGCTCTCATACTTTACGGATACTTAATACCTATATCCCTTTACGTATCGATCGAGGTCGTAAAAGTCTTGCAAGCCTTGTTTATAAACAAGGATATTCATATGTACGATGAGGAGACTGGGACTCCTGCTCAGGCGCGCACCTCAAACTTAAATGAGGAGTTAGGACAAGTGGATACAATCCTTTCCGATAAAACCGGCACTTTGACTTGCAACCAGATGGATTTTCTCAAGTGCTCCATTGCAGGGACTGCCTATGGCATGCGTGCTAGCGATGTGGAACTTGCAGCTGCTAAACAAATGGCCATGGACATTGATGGTCAGAGCCAGGTCAGCACGCCCCATGCGTGGAGGAAAAGTGGGTTTGGAGAAAATGAAATCGAGCTTGAGGCCGTCATTTCCTCGGGAGGTGGGGAGGGGCGTAAATCTATAAAGGGGTTCAGTTTCGACGATAGCAGGCTAATGAATGGGAACTGGTTTAGAGAACCCAATCCGGACATGATTTTGTTGTTCTTCAGGATATTGGCTGTTTGTCACACAGCAATTCCGGAGGAAAATGAGGAGACTGGTGTTTTAACGTATGAAGCTGAGTCTCCGGACGAAGGCGCGTTTCTTGTTGCCGCTAGAGAGTTTGGTTTTGAGTTCTGTAGAAGAACTCAGTCGAGTATATTTGTACGTGAGAGGTATCCTTCGTATCAGGAGCCTGTCGAGAGGTATCCTTCCTATCAGAAGAACCCAATCCTTTGTATCTTTTCAGATTTTTATTTCTTGGTGCTTGTGTGTGCTGACATTTTTATTTTTAATTTTTCTTTTTTTTTTTTGGTTAAAAAATCAGGGAGTTTAAAGTTCTGAATTTGTTGGATTTCACTAGCAAAAGGAAGAGGATGTCGGTTATTGTTCGGGACGAGACTGGTCAGATCCTTCTTTTTTGCAAGGGAGCTGACAGGTATGCCTCCTGTTCTCTACTGTATTTGGACTTCTATTAAATTATGTCAAACACATCGTGGAATGATTTTCTGTTAAACTGGGGTGAAGGGTGGTTGGATTTGTAAATTTGGAGGACATGCACATATATGCATATATATTTGTTATTACTAAAGTATTTTCCAGTTCAATATAAATCTCTGATAATAGTTCCACTAAGAAAAGGTACTCAAAATGCCTGGTTATTTGCATTCGGGATAATATTTTGCTCATATATATACTATCCAGTCATCTAATCATCAGCTTAATCACAGGAAAAAGGTTCGAATGCTTTTTCCTTCCAAGATTCTGCCTTTTTTCCGTTGTTCACTTTTAACTTAATGAATTCTCTTTGAGCTATACATTTATTTGCTCTAGAATCTTAGTCCAATATTTTTTTCTTGTACAGTATCATATTTGATAGGCTAGCCAGGAACGGGAGAATGTATGAGGAGGCAACCACAAAGCACTTGAATGAATATGGAGAGGCAGGGTTGAGGACTTTGGCACTTGCTTATAAGAAGCTAGATGAGGTGAAGTATGCTGCTTGGAATGAAGAATTCAGTCGAGCAAGGACCTCGATCAATGGGGATCGAGAAGCAATGCTCGAACGGATTTCAGATGCGATGGAAAGGGACTTGATACTCGTTGGCGCCACTGCAGTGGAGGACAAATTACAGAATGGGGTACGTTTTATATATCTTGATTCTTGGGGATCATTTTGAAAAGGTCCTCAAAATGTTTTATCTTGTTCACAAAATTTGCTGTCATCTTACATTTTATCATGAGGAAAGAGAAACAAAAGCAATAGGGTATATTTGTACTTCTGAAATATAGCTGTTTTTAATTATTTCTTTTTACATAATATCTTTAAAATGATTCAACTGTGTTTTAAGTTTCTTGGTCTCGTTTTCTCTTGGTCGTGTCTTCTTAGGTGCCGCAGTGCATAGACAAGCTGGCACAAGCTGGTCTAAAGATCTGGGTTTTGACAGGTGATAAGATGGAAACTGCAATAAACATTGGGTATGTTTCTTTCTAGAGTATGCGGCTTTTTGTTTTTTGTTTTTATTATTTTTTTTCGGATGTATGAAAACTTAATGATCAGACGCGTTCGAGATGCTAAACTGCATTCTTATTGTTATGCAGATTTGCTTGTAGTTTACTTCGACAGGGCATGAAGCAGATATGTATAACAGCAATGAATACAGATGCATTAGTTGTCCAGGATCCCAAGCAGGTGACTGTTTATAGAAAACAATGTGGAATATTTTTCTTTACAAATTTATTGAAATCATTTTTATTTTTTTTTATTTATTTATTCTCTTGTTTAGGCTGTAAAGGAGAATATACTGATGCAAATCACGAACGCGACTCAAATGGTCAAGCTAGAAAAGGATCCGCTTGCCGCATTTGCTTTGATCATTGATGGGAAAACTCTAACTTATGCCTTAGAGGAAGACATGAAGCATCAATTTTTGAATTTGGCAATTGATTGTGCTTCTGTTATATGCTGCCGTGTCTCACCCAAGCAGAAAGCTCTGGTTAGAAACTTTTTTGTTGGTTTGATTACATGAACTATGTCTAATGTTCAAATTTCAATTCAACTGAAAAAAGGTAAAAACAAGGAGAGCCAATATTTTCATAAATGGCAAATACCCCGTTTTATTTTCTTCTAATTTAAAGAAGTTATACTCTCAAGAGGAGGGGTATTTGTTGACATATATACAAACCTTAAATTGTACTTGTATTTCAAAGATAATTGGTTATCTTGGGCTTCTTTTTCTTATGATCTGTCGATATTTTCTATAATTTGGTAACCAGGTAACAAGATTAGTGAAAGAAGGAACTAAGAAAACCACGTTAGCAATTGGTGATGGTGCAAATGATGTAGGGATGATCCAAGAAGCAGATATTGGTGTTGGCATTAGCGGGTGTGAAGGCATGCAGGTTGGTAAATCTGTACCATTTTCAGTAACTTGTGTCATTTAAGACGTTGAAGGATTTTTCTATGATTTTTTCTTCTCAACCTTCTTTTACTGATGACTGCACGTGAGTCTTGGCTCGGTAATTTATTTCAAAAGTTCTCTGTAGGGGTTGTGTTACAATTTTATCCTAATATTTGACTCTATGGATAGGATCACTGCCTTTTTTCAATTTTAGTTCAGCACATTTTCTTGTAAGTGAAAGGATTTATAAGTTCAGATTTCCTTTATTATTCGAAATTTTGTATATTCCTGACCCAAAAGTTTGATGACTGATCCAACTTGGACAAATTTAGTAACTTTATGATTTTAGCTGAAATTGAGAAAATTTTAAAGTCGATCACAAACTGCAGACTATCTCCTTTTTTATAGATTTTATGGAATTACATCTTGCTGGAAAATTTTCAACTCCCAAGTCTACATAAATTGGGTTTTCAAGAAGACTTGTTAACGAACAATTTTCACAATACTTGGATACCTGCAGAATATCATCATCTCATTGTGAGCACATACAGCTTTTATTATATCCGAAACTGGCTAACTAATTATCAGCTGTTTGCAGGCTGTGATGGCTAGTGACTTTGCTATTGCACAGTTTCGGTTTCTCGAGAGACTTTTGGTCGTGCATGGCCACTGGTGTTACAAAAGAATTGCTCAGATGGTAATATTTCTTATGATTCATATACTCTCTTACGCTGTTGAGAAGACCATTCAGTGATCTACAGTAGACACTAGACACAAATGTTCGTCATCATATAGAAATCAATTCCTGATTGAATTTTATTTTCCAATTTTTTAAAATGCAGATATGTTATTTCTTCTACAAAAACATCGCATTCGGCCTTACAATCTTCTATTTCGAAGCCTTTGCTGGCTTTTCTGGACAGTCTGTGTACGTTGATTGGTACATGTTGATGTTCAATGTCGTCCTCACTTCATTGCCCGTCATTTCACTTGGAGTGTTTGAGCAGGATGTAGATTCCGAAGTCTGCTTGCAGGTTAGTTTAGTTGTATGGATTTTACTTCCATTTTTTTTTTTTTTCCTTTAAGCAGTAAATCAGAAACTTCAAAACTGCAATTTGTAGTTAAAGAAATCTCCGGTTGCCAATTGCTACTTTCCAGCAAAATTGCAAAAGTTGCTCCTATATTTTCCCAGACGCGCCATTTTTCATAATTCTAATGATTATTTCACTTTGGAAAGTGAAAAAATGTTAAAAAAAAAAAAGAAAAAAAAGTGGGACTGTAATGTAATTTGCGAAACCTTGCAGTTCCCGGCCTTGTACCAGCAAGGGCCGAAGAACCTATTCTTCGACTGGTACCGAATCTTCGGGTGGATGGCCAACGGCCTCTACACCTCTCTCATCGTCTTCTTCCTCAACGTCATCATCTTCTACGACCAAGCCTTCCGACCCGGCGGCCAAACGGCCGACATGACAGCTGTCGGGACCACCATGTTCACCTGCGTCATCTGGGCCGTAAATGCCCAAATCGCCCTCACCATGTCCCACTTCACCTGGATCCAGCACCTCTTCGTCTGGGGCAGTATCGTCTTCTGGTACGCCTTCCTCGCCATCTATGGAGAACTCGTATATGCTCTCGATGTTAACGCCTTCCGGATCCTTCGGGAAGTACTCGGGCTGGCCCCAATCTACTGGTCCACCACTCTTCTAGTAACCGTGGCCTGCAACTTGCCGTACCTCGCCCACATTTCCTTCCAGAGGTCGTTTAACCCGCTCGACCATCATGTGATCCAGGAGATTAAGTATTATAGGAAGGATATCGAGGATCGGCACATGTGGCGGGCCGAGAGGAGTAAGGCCCGGCAGAAGACTAAGATCGGGCTGACTGCCAGGGTGGATGCTAAGATAAGCCAGCTCAAGGGGAGGTTGCAGAAGAAGTATTCTATAGCTGCTGGTAATGGTGTAACACAACAACAAACGTGATCTTTTTTTTTGTTTTTTTCTTTTTTTCTTTTTCTTTTTTGGGTATGTAGATTTTTTTTCTTGTTTGTCCCATTGTTGATGGTGTAGGGCTCAAGTTATTTTGGGATTTTTGTGCATTATTTTTGTACTTTTTTGGTTGGGACATTTTTATACTCTGTTTTTTGGTGTAGAGATTTGGAGTGAGGTGATTTTGTGAAAAAAAGCTTGTGGCTGTTGTGTGTATAATACTTGTAAGGTGATCCGGTTGAAGAGATGAGGTACATAATATTACCTTATTCATTCTCATATAGCTCGGCTAGAGTATATATATGATGCTCAGACAAAAATTATGTGGAGTCATCGGATAGTTTTCTTATAAAGTCATTCATCACTTAATATATTGAAATCTGTCTAAGCTGTATTTATTGTATGACACATGTAAATACAGTAATAGTGAATAAGCAGAGATAGAGCCACATTGGGCATGGGCCCCATCATTTTTTTTAAACTCAATAATATATATATATATAGGGATGAGTTCCGGTGAGAAAGGTTGTCAATGAAAGAAATAAGAAAGCATCTTGATCACAAGATTAAAGTAATCCGACGGCAAAAATCATGCT